CTGTTTGCACATGCAGTACAACTGATTGTCTATCACTCCTTTCCCAGGCTGAGCTATTCTGTATTGGAGATTGGGAGAGAGTTTGTGCCCATTATACAGTGTGATGAGATAAGGATGGTCCCGTATGTCTATGGCACAACTCTAATAGGCCATGATGAACATACCTGTTTTCTCTAAAATACCTATTTCTAACTGGGGAAGACACCATTTTACATATTTTGTAGAAACAAGGTTTACCTCTGTATTGCAATAAAAGAAACTACAACTTGCTTATATCTGGACAAGTCTATATACGGACATGTTATTTTATATCCCAGAAGACTATATATACATCTAGCCGAAAATCCACATGAAAGCTGTACAGAGAGTTGTTAAGCAGGAAATGGTACTGGAGCTAGTGCTGATTCACCCTGTAGGGATGGTGTGTCATAGTCTAAACTGGATGATGATGATGATGATGATGATGATGATGGAGTCCTATAAACTAATGCTGTTTTTTTACCATGAGTCTATCAGTCAGACTTCATAACTGAAATGCATGCTTCCATCCTTTCCTTCCAAATAGAAGGAAATATATACAAAATGTGGTTTATTTTGACATTTCTCAAGTTAAACATGTCACAAACTTGGCAATGTATACTGAGCATATGATGAAGATATATCTTAGAGGTGGCTATCTTCTAAAAAACCATATGTCCTTAGATTCTGACATATAGGCAGCTTGAAGCCTAATTCAGCTGGGTTTCAATCCACCAAGAGGACCGAGGACATCTTGTAGCAAAACATTTTTTACCGTGTAGGCCGCTCTGTATTTTTTTTTAAGCTGCTAGAGGATTGTGTTTTAAATTAAAAAAAGATCATTGTGCTTTAAACCAGCAGATCACCTTTTTTAGACGAGGGCCCGGTCTGGGGGTGTTAGGAGTCTGCCGGCGGCTGTGGACCCGCTGGTAGCAGGTGGTTGGGGACCCCTGCTTCAAGCTATATGCAATTTGAATTTTCCAGTAAAAGTTGGAATTGTTCCCACCTCCAGCTCTCCAGGCTCCATTTGGTGGGCACCATTCCTAGTCAATGAGTATTCTTAAGGGCTGAGCCCAGCAGACCTTTCAATGGAGTGGTTAAAGGAGAATTATGGGGAGAGTCAAATATACTCATCCCCATACTTAGAGCCGACATGTGACCCTGCAGCTATCACATGTGAGCATTCCGAGAATGCACAGCGATTTCTAATGACACTCCAAACACGGCCCACAAATCGTGCGGCGGTTTTTCCGCAGCGTTTCCGCGTGTGCAAACGCAGCAGAAAAAAACATACGATCCCTTTTAAATCAATTGGGCAGTGTGACAAACGCGGTCCGCAACCGCGCACGAACGCACGGTCCTGGGAAGTGCATCCCGGAAACGCACAGATGTGGACATGAGCGATCACATACCACTGATCGCTCAGTTCAGTCCATGATGGACTACAAGCTCCCGTTTAGTTTACTACTTTGTATTGAGATTGTAGTCCATCACAGGAGTGAGCTTGGAGCGGTGGCTACATTACAACACACAAAGGGACCATGGGGAACAAAGTAGCCACCCTCCAGAAGGAAGGACGGTGTCAGCACCAATTCAGAGATGATTTGAGGATCTACTGCCGAGTGATACACAAATAAGATCCATTTTTGGTAGTAGTGAATATACTTGAATGCATTTTTAAGATTTATCTCCTTAGTTTAGTTTCACTTTAACCTTTGCCTACACATTTTACTGATATGCTTAGTTTTATTAGCCCAAGTTCATGACAGGTTTATTTTCAAGTCAAAAGCACTTTTCATTATCCAGTGCAATTTTCATAGGTGAACATTTTGCCTTGCCATGTATCATGTTGCTTTTTAAACTGCAAAATGTTTATTTCATGCAAAAAATCTACTTCGGCACCCTACTCTGGTGCCACCATAATAAAATGGCTGCCATTTCCTGTGCCACCACAGCTTGGATTGTGTAATGCAAGACATGGCTTAACATTTCTAGAACTATATTGGAGGTGGAACCCTTCAGTGACATCTGTAGCTTGCCCCCCATTCACAGAAAAAAAGCAGACGGATGTTCATTCGTGACTCATAACCCACCCCTCCTCCCTTTTTACACCAGGATTGCCAAGAGATGTAGTTCCAACAAGAGGAACTACATCAAATGATATTACCATCCAGCTTAGTGGCAATGGCCTTTTGCTGGGTAGCAACTTTAAAAGCAGAAGCATAAGGAGGGTGATTTTAAAGAGACTGGAGGGGCAAACTGTGGCAGGTATAACATACAGTCATCTAACAGTGCCTACACATGTCTAAAGGAGCCCTCCAAACCCACCTATTGTGGCCAAATCTCAGCCCATTCCAACAGGCAAAGCTTTGGCACTTCCCGATAAGGTCTAAGTTGTCCACCTCTTCCTACCACCTGCACAGTCCTATTGGCCAGCGAGGTTGGCCATCATAATGATGGGCCAATAGGAATGTGTAGAGGTACAGTACTTTGTTTTAACAATGAATGCTAGATTACATGTAACAGGTCTCCCTATGTTCAATCCTATGTTTGTTAAGTGCTTTAACTTTCATGTTTGGCCCTTTCCTCATTGTGGAGCAGCAGGCAATAATGCCGGAGCATTTATAAAAGAAAAAAAAAAGAAATCCCTTTACAACTAAGAACATTTTTGTAGACAGGACAGCACCCGACCATCTCTAGAGTAACTTCATAGGCAGAAGTAATTACATAATGCAAAGTATAAGTATAGTAAGGGCAGTTGCATATCTTTGGAAATTCATTGATGTCGTAATGGGCGCCTGCTAGCAATAGTAAACCCTGCAAGGTGATAGTGTATTGTGATGATCCCACTCGCTGAATTTACACATGAATCATTCATGAGAAGTCTAGAGCTGTAAAAGCTTGTAGGGTAATGAACAAATTGGTTGCCAACATGCATGAGGGAGATGTACTACACTAATCTTTGCCTAACGATGTCAGCATTACCACAACATTCATGCACAACAAATACATTCTCTAATAATATGTCTTCTGAAGCTCAGTTATGAGAAGCATGATGTCAGTTTGTAAAAAGGAGTGTAAAAGAAAGTTTTGTGTGTGGAAAAGAAAGGAGTTTGTGTGCATAACAGCCAATCAGATTTAAACTAACATGTATTTGTTTTATTTAAGTAATCAAAATCCAATTATTGTAATTAGTTAAAATTAAAGGTGACTGTCATAAGATGAGGTCATTTAATTATATTCAGATGTATGGTGTAACTTATTTATATATCTGTTGTACTATCTGTAATGGATACTTTATGACATCTAGCACAAATTACTATGTTACCATTATTATTTATACTGTAGCTGCAGCAACTTCTGTGATCTTGGAATACTGATATTTTAAACAAAGCATCCTTTGTTTTTGTGATGCCTATTGAAGTTTCTATACCTTATTTTTAGATTGTATTGCAGTTTCTCTATTTATATTAGAACTTCCTATATTAATGCACTGTGAAAGCATTAGATGCAGCCAGCTCATTTTGCTGGGAGGAGTGGGTGTCTAGTGATTTGGCGTTAACAGAATGTGGGAACATGTGAGAATCCACTCTTGGACTGAATAATAGATTGAGTTCTATTTAGAAACTAGTTTGGTGTAGAGCACACACATGCAGTATTACAGGCAGGCTTTTGTTGCTGGTAAAATGTAAGTGGAATTGTATTTTTATGACAAATAAGAGGTATGGAATCCAATGGTAAATGAGAGGTTCCTCAAAGGCCAGACATTCTAGTAGTGTGAGCTGGTGCTCAGCACCTACAAATGAGTGAAAACGTAGGAATGCTACAAGCTACAAAGAAAAATATAATGTTTCTAAAGGTTATTGACTCCTGTAAGTCTAGCTGCAAGATTTGTTGAGACCTGGATGAATCATGATACTGCGCCCATGACCTCTTGTTTCCTTTTGTTGAATTAGGGCTTGTTCACACCGAATGAGGTGCGTTCCAGAGCAACAGCTGCTGGAACACACCACAATCCCTCACAAAACTTCCCCCTGCATTCTGGGGTGGGAGGGGGTGTGGCGGTGCATTGAATTCAATGGCACCACTTCCACGCGCCCCCGCCCACAGTGTGAATGGACGCGTGGCAAAACTTTGCCTGCGTTCTGTTCCACTGCAAACGCAAAAAATAGAGCAAGCATTATTTTTTTGGGTTTTGCACCCCCAGAATGCAGGGGGAAGTTTTGTGAGGGATTGCGGTGTGTTTCAGCAGCTACCGCTCTGGAACGCACCGCTTTCGGTGTGAACAAGCCCTTAGGAACCTTTGCTGGCTGTTTCTTCTGATGACCTCCATTTACATTGTGCATCATACGAAGCTTCCCTGCACACAGGGCTAGCATAAAGTGACACTAAACTCTTAAAGAGGCATTCAAGTACCTTAACTATTAACAAAAATTTGTGTTATTTGTGTATCACTCAGCTGTAGATCCATGAATCATCTCTAAATTGGTGCTGACATTGTCCTTCCTTCCTTCTGGAGGGTGGCTACTTTTTTTCCCCCATGGTCCCTGTGTGTGTTGTAAAGGAATCACCGCTCCAAGCTCACACCTGTGATGGACTACAACCTCCCGTTTAGTTTAACAATTTGTATTGAAATTATAGTCCATCAGGGGAGTGATCTTGGAGTAGTGACTACTTTACAACACACACAGGGACCATGAGGAACAAAAGTAGCCACCCTCCAGAATTTGGTGCGTGCTCCATTAGTGTACAAAATAATTGCAGATGCATTGGTCCAAACTATCCAGTAGTTTCCAGGTACAGAGTTCATTATTGTCAGTGGAAAAACCCAAGACTGTCAAGGGAAAATCAGGACCCATGAGAGCCCATAACTGCAGCTATACCAATTCCCTGCATGGATATCGGACTGTTTGTCTTGGTACAGTGTATAGATTGATTCCAGAAATCTAAAGTGGTGTACTTTTCTCCATTGTGTCTTACAGTGAGCTTATTAAAACAGCAGATGGAGGGCAGATTTCACTGGACTGGTTTAGTAATGATGATAATACACTTTACCCTGACGCCAGCACAAGACCTACAATCCTTCTACTTCCTGGCCTCACGGGAACGAGCCGGGAATCCTATATTCTGCATATGATTAAGCACAGTGAAGAGCTTGGATACAGGCAAGTACAACAGTGAATTACAAAAGTGTTGGTTAAGCAAGATCAGTTTCTATAAATTATAAATATAAATTGTAATATTATCACAACTGAAATGTCAAAAAAAAAAATTCTGCCTGATCAGGCACAGATTTAAAGAGAGTTGATCATTTTCCTGATGACATGAGCTAATGCATTGTGAAATTTGGCAAAAGTAGAGGTTTCATGTGGTCTCTTCTACTCAGGAGGGGGTTATATCAAGTTGTGGTTGACTTTGTTAGAGCTTTAGATTAAATGCATAAACTGAGTTCATGAAATTGAAGCAAAAGCAGTCAGTTTCACTGCAAGTAATTATTATTATTATACAGGATTTATATAGCGCCAACAGTTTGCACAACACTGTACAACATAGGGAAGACATTATAATTACAATACAATTCAAGACACAATGGTAAGGAGGGCCCTGCCCTTGAGGGCTTACAATCTAAAGGTGCCCATACACTGCACGATTCTCGGATGAGAATCGCGGGAAATCCCGCGATCGTACGAGAATCGTGCAGTGTGAATGAAGGCATGCGACCGTTTCTACTGTAGGACTAGAAAAAAATGGTACCTGCATGAATCTATAACCAGCCTTTATAGCAGGGCGCACATTGGGAAGGCTTACAACAATACAAAACACAAAAATTCCCCAGCCTCAACCTGCCAGCCAGCCTGCAACCAAACAAGTAGCCTTGTCAACAGTATGCGTTAAAATCAGAGGTTTTAGTTGCACAAACTTTTGGCCAAAAATATGTAGAAGCCACACTGCCGCGCCAAGGCACCTCTGCAAAGTGTGGTCCTAACTCTATGTATCCGAGTCTCCCAAGTGTGAGCATCTCAGGATCTCCTGAGACACCTCAGGACAAATCAATAGATTGTTCATTTAGGAGCCTTGGCCAGAAAATGTATCCTTATTGTATAAGAAAAATGCAGGTGGTAAAATGGAGCTTATGTTTCCCCCTTAGTTCCAGCCTCCCATACCAATTGCAGTTCTTAAAGTGGTGCTGAACAAGTTGCGGCTGTCAAAACTCAGAGCTGTGGGAAGCAGCATGTGAGGGTACACAGCTCCTGCATCTACTTATTTACATGAGCTGCCCACATGCTTCTTCCCGCAGCTCCAGGCACATCAACAACTGACCCTTCATGCTGTACAGAGCAATATTATTAAAAGTACGGATTAATAATATATAGCAAAAGCTTAAAGGAGAACTATGAGGTGAATGCTTTTCACTCACCTCATAGTTCTCCTTTAAAAGGAGCTGTGTACCCTCACATGCTGCTTCCCACAGCTCTGAGTTTTGACAGCCGCACACAGACAGTGTACGGTCCTGGATACATCATGTCTGCGTCTGAGGCCGTATACCATCTGTTGCGTCTGTCAAAACCCAAAGCTGCAGGAAGCAATGCATGAGAGCACACAGCTCTTGTGTCTACATAGAGTTAAAGGAGAACTATGAGGTGAGTGAAAAGCATTCCCCTCATAGTTCTCCTTTAAGCTTTTGCTATATATTATTAATCCGTACTTTTAATAATATTGCTCTGTACAGCATGAAGGGTCAGTTGTTGATGTGCCTGGAGCTGCGGGAAGAAGCATGTGGGCAGCTCATGTAAATAAGTAGATGCAGGAGCTGTGTACCCTCACATGCTGCTTCCCACAGCTCTGAGTTTTGACAGCCGCACACAGACAGTGTACGGTCCTGGATACATCATGTCTGCGTCTGAGGCCGTATACCATCTGTTGCGTCTGTCAAAACCCAAAGCTGCAGGAAGCAATGCATGAGAGCACACAGCTCTTGTGTCTACATAGAGTTAAAGGAGAACTATGGGGTCAGGGCTTTTCCCCATAGTTCTCCTAAGGGTCACGGGAGAACACAAACTAGCTTTCCCCCCGAGAACCAAAGATCAGTATACCGCGAGCTACAGCTTGCGGTATACTGAGACGTCGCAGCCAAGACGGATCCCGACACTACTGTCTGGATCCACCCAGCTGCGGGATTGACAGCTGGCTCTGCCTATCCAGAGGCAGAGTGTCACGTGGGCCACATACCTGAGGTGAGACCGAAGTAGTGGGGAGGCCTCCCTTGCACCTCGGGTCCTTGAAGTCTCTGGAGATGGAGACAGAGATTTCAGTGGACACCGAGTGGCACGGGTGCCAGGGGTGTGGAGCACCGTGCAAGCCTTAGTCCGAAATCCGAGCCGAGGTCAAGTCCACTCTGGCAACGAAGTACACAAGGGTTAATCAGAAGAATGGTGGAGAGCCGAGCCGGGGTCGGTTCCAATCTGACAGCTGAGTACAAAAGGGGTAAAGAAGTAGAATGGTCAAGGTACAAATCCAAGGTCAATGGCAGGCAGCAATCAAGAGTAGTCAAATAGGTTTCCAGGTCACAACAAGTTCAGACAGATCACACACTAGCACAGGAACAAGGGGGGACTGAAGATAATCCAGCAATTTGGCAGTGTCTGGGCTGGGCTTATATAGGGAAGTGATGATTGAAGTTTGAGGTCATTTTATATAGGGAAGTGATGATTGAAGTTTGAGGTCACTTCCTGTCCACCTCCTGGGCATTTTCACGCCTTTTTCCATCAGGTTGAGGTCACTTCCTGTGCGGCTCCTGGGCATTTTCCTGCCTTTTCCATCAGGTTGAGGTCACTTCCTGTGCGCCTCCTGGGCATTTTCCTGCCTTTTTCCATCCGGTCTTCTGCGCAATGCGCGGGTTGGCGCACTGACGCGTCTTTGGCGCATGCGCAGTTGGAGCGGATATCCTCTTGCGGCAACGCCATTGGAGCATGCGTAGTAAGCCCTGGACTCTTACACAGAGCCAGCTGTGCCTGCACCTTCCCCGTCCGTTTCGCTATTCAGTGCTGGAGGATCGGACAGGGGGAGGGGAAATCCCTGCAGGGAGCCGTGAGTCACAGTCAGAAAATGTAGAAAAAAAACAACTTTTTTTACATTATGTTATAATACATTTATTATTATCCAATATTTTGGTAAAATATAAAAGATGGGGTCACGTTGGGTAAATAGACACCAAGCCTTAAAATTGTGCGCACCCGCGAAAAGGCAAAAAACTACCATACCTAAAATTGACCATTTTATTCTTATTATTTTGCCACTTTAATTTTTTTTTTAAACTTTTTTTTTAACTTAACTTTATTGTTATCCGATATGGGTGCTAAGAATCCCCCTATTTGATAGCAAAGAGGATGTGACAGGTCCTCTTTATGGAGACATCAAGGGTCTTTAAGACCCCTAATGTCAGATAGGGACCCCCAAGGAAGCTGATGAAGCATAGATCTGCTTCATCAGCTTCTCTCCAGCTTCTGAAGCTGGAGACTGACAGCAGAATGTGGAAGTGATATATAATATACATCACTTCCTGCATTCTGACTCCGGAGAGGAGATCAGAGGGAGATTGTGTGCTGATCTCCCTCTGATCCCCTGTCACAGAGCCGCCGTGCCGGTCTCGGGCCCGCATCAGGCCCAACGTGGCTCGGGACCAGCGCTGTGGAGGTGATTTGCACCGACTGACACCTCATATAAGCGATCCGGCGGCTCTATAGCCGACGGATCTCTTGTATGTAAACAGGCATCGTTGTCTGTTTTACATTTTGAAAGTATTCCCGCAGTGCAATTAAAAAAAAAAATTGCATACTGTTTTATTCTGAATGAAACTTTATGTTTGTAACACACCATTTGTGTAAGTTATTTTAAATAGATGATAGTATTAATTTTATTTAGGGCTGGTAATGATAAAAAATGTCCTGTTTGACTTTCCCTTCATTAGCCGACAGCCACTTGGGGAAGGGGGGAGGAGTCCGGTGACGTCGATGTCTGTGACATCACCGGATCTCCGACGGAAGACCCGGAAGCCGGCGGAGAGGTGAGTACGGATCAAAATAATAATCAAAAAAATAACGATTAATCGAGGGATTAATCGTTAATTTCCGCAGCCCTAATTTTATTTTATCCGATGAATCGAAAAAAATTATCGGCCAACTAATCGAATTTGAAAATAATCATTAGTTGCAGCCCTAGTAGAAACCTCAAAGTATTCACTGCACCTTGTATTACACACCATGCAGAACAGAACCAAACTGTGTCCTAAACCAACGTTCTTTAAACTTTTTTCAGTCACTGCACCCTTTAAAAGTATGCAAAATCTTGTGGCACCCCAGTCTAAAATGTAAAAAAACATATGGTCCCTACAAAATCCAAACCACACCGTTATCCAAGATAGGGGTCTGGTATGGATTTTAACACACAAAAAATTGTAGGGTTTCCCTTTTCACACAAGTCCCCTTCCACACCAGAAGCCCCCACTTTCACATCAGGATCCCCCATGCACATCCTTTGAAAAATGTTATGAAATGTGAAAACAAAAAAAAAACTACACAGGTACAAATGGCTGTCCAGTGGAGATTTTCTTTTTTTTTCAAAAACATGAGGGTTTACTATCACTTTAAAGCTTCTTAATATAGAGGACAGAAGTTGGCAAGTCAAGTATTACTCCCACATGGCAGATGGCACAGTGATATTCAACCTCTTTATTTCTTTGGCACCTTTCAGGGACAAGCATGGCTTCATGATTCAATGAAACTTGTAAAATCATTTCCTACTGTTTAGTCATTTTTCAGACACATAATCTATTGCCTGGAGTGGTTAACCATGGCATAATGTGTTAGCTCCTAAAACAAGTGTGGTTGGCAGCACTAGCCAGCTCACACAACTCAACAGCCTCTAGTATGATAACATACTGCATCGGAGACGTCTGCAGTTTTTCAGGGTCTTAGGAATAAAAGAAAGAATACTTACTGTGTCATCATCTGTTTGAGCCTTCATAATATTGATCAATTAGGACTGATTATATCTTTGAATGATGGACATTTATCTGACATGCACATTCACATGTCAAATGAGCAGTGACATTGTATTTTTCCAATTCAGCAGAGTGACCTCTTTCTGCTCAAATGGATTTTAAAGTGTATTTTGGATACCACCTATTTTATATTTGTTACATGTTTGTCATTCACATAGTATTACCCCCAAAAAATAAAAATTGCTGCTTACACCAAACACGCTTAATTTTCAAAGGGCAAAGTTCTTCTATGTACTGACTTTTCCTCTGGAATGCAAGGGGGCTGGGGAGGGTAATAATCAACTTTGTCTGTACTGTGCTGACAGATCTCATTATCAGTTGTAAACAAAATTTGAGCACTGTCTGTTCTAAGAGTTAAAAGAGAACTATGGGGTAAGTGTTTTTCCCATAGTTCTCTTAATGGTCACGGGAGGACATAAACTAGCGTCCTCCCATGACCCAAAGCTCAGTATATCGCGAGCTATAGCTTGCGGTATACTGAGACCGCTGCAGCCGGGACGGATCCCGACAGTACTGTCGAGATCCACCCAGCTGCGTGATTGACAGCTGGCTCTGCCTATCTAGAAGCAAAGCCAGCTGTACACGCCCCCTACCCAGTTCGTTCCTGCAGTCAGCACTGGAGAATTGGAGTGGGGAGGGGGGGAATCCCTGCGGGGAGCGGTGACTGACAGTCATGGCTCTCTGCAGGGACATGATCGAGAAGTGAGCGAGCGACGGTATGTGTTCGCTCACTTTCCGATCTATTGAGCCGACCTGTGACCGTTTCATTGTCACACGTCGGCTCGAACTACGAGGCTGAGTGATTTTTCATTAACCTCATATTTCTCCTTTAAAGATCTAGAACCTTTCATTGTATTTAATGAGGGGCAGCTCAGTCTGTCCTAAGTCTTTCTATGGGGACAGTCAGTGTTTTCTGTTACTGAAATTGAGAGATACTTACAAATACCTGCTACATCGAGATATCTAAAAGATAAGAAATATTTTTGTATATGTTGTGTGAATAGGAACACATACCAAACATACTGTATAGTGGGGTTTTTCTAATTTTTTTCCTGTAAAAGTGCAATACATTTTAAGTGAACAACTTTACTGTATGGGCCATTTATTTATTTATGCAAGGTTATTATATCCCCTTCCATAATCACCTCTTCTAAATAGTAAATAAATCCAGTTGCATTCATTTTTCCTCTTAGCTGAAGTCCTCTATGCCCCTTATTAATTTAGTTGTCCATCGCTGCACTCCAAATCCAAAAATGTTTCTGAAGTGGTGTCCAAAACTGAACTGCATATTCACGATTATGATTATTATTTATAGACAAATTGCAGATCAATTTTCCCTGCAACTTTCTGTGAACGTTCGTTCTGAGCAAATGGAGTCAAAAACAAACCTTCTCAGTATATTTTCTTTTCAAACTGAATTATATTCAGAAAATATTATTTTGGCAACTAGAGGGAGCTATAATAATAAATTATAATAATATAATTATAATTATAAATAATTACTTATTTCCTGTGCTCCTCAGCTCCATCAAATGACCATAATGCTGTATTTTCTGAATATTCCATTCGACCTAAAAAAAAAATATACTAACAATGTTCCCTTTTGCCTCCATTCGCATAGAATGAACATTCGCAGAGATTTGCAGGGCGAATGGCTCTGCAAATCGTTTATAAATAGACCTCATAGACAGTTGTTACTGAAACAGGTGTCCTCATCGGAAGTTTTAGCCTCTATTCCAGTGTTGGTGTCAACTGCAGAATTTTTTGTTTTCCGTTCACTTTCTCTCCTAGTAACATTGGTCATCGGGACAAAAAGAGAGGGTCCCAATAAGGACCTGATAAAGGTTTCAACACTACCTTGCTCTATCCGAAATGTAAAAAGTTTGGGCTTTAAATACACTTTGAGTTAACGCTTCATTTATTAGTCTGCTCCGTGGAGAAACAAAAATCTGACAAATTACTGATTGCTGTAAACAAGACTTGTGCTTTTCCGTGCTCAGGTTGTAGTAAATCATTCCTAGAATATCTGAACTTGCTTATGTACTTCTAATTGGCTCATCATCTGTAACATTTTTTGTTTTAGGTGTGTTGTTTTCAATAATCGAGGTGTTGCTGGCGAGAATCTTTTGGTAAGTTGTCAAGGAACGTTTGAAAACTCATCACGTCTGCTCTACTATCTTCTTTAATTAGCAAGAATGATAAAAATTTGAAGAAATTAGTAATTTCTGTACTGGTTGATTTGGGAGCTTTAGAATTCTGGGCAAAATTTGTATTAACCCTTGCAGTGGGGCTTCCTCCGCAGTGCAAGGGTTAACTGCTGGTTTTGGTCCACGGAGGAAAATAAAAAAGTTATACTCACTCAATCCTCCAAGCTGGCTGGGTGTCACAGCGCCCCTTCAGCCTGTCTCCTTCTCTGCTTCATCAATGGTATGTCCCTTAGTGTCCTCACGTCCTATACACTGTGTATCGAACATGATTAAGAGACCTTAGACCGGTCCTTCCAGCCTTGCTTCCTCTCCACTGTGCGGTCTAAGAGCAAGCCGGTTCCGAGGGTCAGGTGAGTATAACTTTATTATTTTCCTCCTTAGACCGTAGCCCCACTGCAAGGGTTAATAAAAACGTTTCCCGGAGTTCTTTCAACAGTTATCAAGTCAATCTGATCCACATAGAATATGACAAGTTATGCCCTATTGTACGCATACAGTATATGCTAAGCCACTACTTTCAGCAATGATCCTTTATGATGATCCAGAGAGTTATGGTTTATGTACACAGGCATCGATCTCAGAAGAAAGTCACATTTATTGTCCTTTCATGTGCTTCTTAGTTTCTTACATTTGCCTTTGAGCTGTTTCAAGCAGCTTTGAGTTGCTTTGGCATTTACATTGACTTATATGGGGAGGGGATCAGCTCAGACACAGTCAAAAAGTCATGTACATAAACCTTCAGCTGGCCATAAAAATGTACGTATGGTCCCAGGTGCATGGACAATCTGTTCACCTCCCAGTGTCTTCCCCAATCATGAGTGCTTCAATATAGAGTAATGGAGGAGGGAGAATGAATGGCGTGCAGACAAACTCAGGCGGCCTGTTTTAAGAAATGGGTAGGTTCCACATTTCCTAAATTGACAACTGGACCGCCAACAGTCTTGGATTTTTGGGCATAGCCCACTACTGCCTGCATAAGTCCCATTCCCTGACCCTGTAATCACTGCAGTTGAACTCTTCCTCTCTTCAGGGTGAAGTAGGCAGAGTAATGAAAGCTCCCTAACCTGATAAGCATGGGAAAGCGATTAAGCACGTTTTTCTAGCCCGCCCTATCATTTTGTTCCCCAAGAATTGTTGTTTTAGACTGTCATGCATTGCCCTATAAATGTTGGATTGTTACCCACAACCAGCCAAACCATCTCATGTTTGTGGGCACATTTAGACTAGAAATCTGGATTATGGAAACACAGGTACCTTGGCTTTATTCACTGCAGTGCTAATGCTGAGCCTGTAGCAGGAGGGACATTTCTGTATTCATTAAAGTGCTCATACACCACCGGTCTCAAAGTACCAGCTCACGGCCACTTGCGGCCCGCGAGCTGGTACTATGTGGCCTGCAGCCAGGTGACAAGTCAGGTACGCGGTCACGGGCCGCATACCTTGCTTGCGGGAGCAGCTACACAGTCTGCATCTCAATCGGATGCAGACCGCAGAGCTGCTCCTCCTGGTACTGAGATCCTTTCGGCCGGAGCTCAATTCTGAGCTCCGGTTTTATATGGGGGGGTGTATTTTTTTTTAATATGTGCAGTGGTATTTTTTTTTATATGTGCAGTGGTAGTATGTTTTATATATGTACAGGGGTAGTATTTTTTATTATATGTACAGAGGTAGTATTTTTTTTATATATGTGCAGCGGTAGTATTTTTTATTATATGTACAGGGGTAGTATTTTTTTTATATATGTGCAGTGGTAGTATGTTTTTATATATGTACAGGGGTAGTATTTTTTTATATATGTGCAGGGGTAGTATTTGTTTTATATATGTGCAGCGGTAGTATTTTTTTTATATGTGCAGGGGTAGCTTTTTTTTTATGTGTATGGGGGTGAGGGGTGTATTATTTTACATGTGCAGGGGTAGTTTTTTTATGTGTATTGGGGAGTGTATTATTTTATATGTGCAGGTTTTTTTTTTAATTTTCTTATGTATACGGGGGTGAGTGTATTATTTTATGTATGCATGTGCAGGGGTAGTTTTTATTTTATTTTATGTGTACGGGGGGAGTGTATTATTTTATATGTGCAGAGGTAGGGGTTTTTGTGTGTGTGTAGGGGGGTGTATTATTTTATATGTGCAGGGGTAGGGTTTTTTTGTGTGTAGGGAGGGGGGGGATTTGGAGAGTGTGTTAGGCTCCATTCACACCTCTATCTTTAGGTGCAATTAGGGATTCCTGCGTCAGGAACTTGTGTTATCCTGCAGCAGGAATCCCTAATCTGGCGTTTAAAAGTGGCAGCTGTCACCTATTCAAGCTAATGATCAGATGACAGCAGCTGCATGTAAACTCCTGCACACTGCATGTAAAGATATTTGATATGATTACATTCGGTTAGGAATCAGTCACTCTCCCTGGACGCAATGATTGTGCATCCAGTGAGAGTGTTTTCTAACTGCATGTAATCATATCACATATCATTACATGGTATTTGGCAAGCCGGCCCCCATGGGAGAAAAAACATTGTCGAGTGAGTTTGAGATCCCTGCCATACACCTTGCGATTATCGTTCGGAAATTGAACACGATCAGGTTTTTGTACGATGATCGGCCAGTTGATGGGAAGTGATTGATCAGAATTAGTGTACAACTGGGCGAATTTCCTCGATCGGTCAGGCTGGAAAAGCTTACGAAAATCGATGGATTAGTGGCATTTTCGTTCGAAGAAACTCGCAACATGAACACTGCACATGCGCAAACGAAAATCCGTTCTCTCGATCGACGAAATTTGGTCAGTCTTGCTAACGAACGATAATTGAAATCCACATTGGTCTGTGCATGATGGGGTATTCGAGTGGAACGCGGACGTTGGTTCGATGAGGGCAGAAAATCATTTGAACGATAATCACAAGGTGTATGGCCACCTTTGCAGAGTATTTTATATTTATTCTGCTTTAACAGAAACAAAAAAATAAACCTTAGGAATGTATTATGCTGGCCCCACGTTATGTGAACCCCACAGGTTTTACATTTGCCTCTGTAACACATTGGACCTTGGAGAACTGTACTTCGATCTGTTAGTAGTCCAGATACGTTCACTGGTTGAGTAATGTGCAGACCCTTTATTGGCCGCTCACTGTAGCCCATTCAGCCTATTTATTAGTATTCAGACAGAACCGAGCCTGAATCCTTTTTCATTGAGCAGATTATGAAAGAATCTGGCAACAAATACTTTTTGTTAGTGATTGCTTGTACAGCTTAGAATGCAATCAAGGGTTTTGCATACTTGATATATTTCCAGGGACATGAAACTGAGGTATTCTATAAGAGTGAAGTAAAGGCAAAATAAAATAGTTTACTGCACTACAGTTTAAGAAGTAATGTTATACATATATAACAAATAGGAGCAGTACTATGAAAATAACCAGTGTTGTATATAGTCATAAAGATATTGTTATTTATCTGGCTTGAGTACATCCACACTTATCACATGAATCTTAGACCTTGTTGTAGCATCCGGGGTGTAAACTATGGTAGCCAGTGCCATTGGGTAGAGCCTTTAGCCCTTTTGCTGCCATGGTGTCTTTTGCACACATGTTATAATGCACATTTTAGGCCTAAAAATTACTTAAAACCCCTGAGAGTTATATATGTATGAAAGCAGAGATCCTGTAGAATAAAATGGCGGCAATGTTGCAAATTTTTACGTCGCATTATATTCGCACAACGTTGTATCAAAACCAAATTTCAGTAAAAATTAGACTTAAGTTAATGTTAGTGGCCAAAAACACAATACAATACCAGTTTGTAGACATGTGCGATTCGGTTCGTTCCGAAATTCGTTTCGGACAAATTTTTCGGAAATTCGAAGATTCGGATGCATCCGAATTCCGAATTACAGCTAAGACGAATGCAAACGAATCCAAAATTCCCGATTTCCCAAAATTCTTTATTGGACGAATTTCGTTGCAGCAAAATTTAAAAAAAAAAAAAAGCTTGAGGTTTCCCCAAATTCATACCAGACCCTTTAGGTCTGGTAGGAATGTTAGGAGGGACCCGCCCCCTCCTTATAACACAAAAAAAGTGCGTGGGGTTCCCCCCTAACAGTCCTACCAGACCCTTGATCCGAGCACAAGCAGAGCAGGAAAGGGGGGGACACGATCGAGCGCCCCCCCTTCCCTGCGCCTTACCAGTCCACGTGCCCTCGGCATTGGGAGGGTGTCCCCGTGCCGATGGGGACAAGGGCCTCTTCCCCACAACCCTGACCCGGTGGTTGTGGGGGTCTGCGGGCAAG